ATTATAAAAGTTGGAAGTGATAGAGGAACATTCAATTTATTCAAACGTGAAGTAATGCAAAGGAGATACATCGCTTTGGCTGTAAGTTGTGAATTGTATAAGAATGATGCATATACTATTGGCTCTAAAATTATGAGTTCCACCACTACTGATAGAAAAAAAAGATCTAAGAAGCTAGAAAATTATGTTGACGAAGATAGAAAAGTATGTGGTGCTGCTATTTCTTGGGAAAGTAATATTGCATATTACATTTCTTTTGGTAACGACCGAGGTATGTAAAATTATATCTGCATCAATTGTTTTCTACATATTCACTGAAATAATCAATTTTCAGATTTAAAAGTTCCAGGCAAGGAACAAATGAAGCTGCTAAAAGAAATACTTAATAATACACATTTACATATAAAATGTTATGCAGCCAAGGAGACATTTAAAATCTTATATAGATGTTGTGATATTATTGCGAGTTGCAAATTTCTAGATCCAAAAGTGGCAAATTGGCTGTATGATAGTGAAATTTATGAAAAAAATTTCAGTGAAATGGTAGAAAATGTGAATGTATATTAGAAATATATATATAATATTAAATTCTATCTTTGTATTGAAAAATATTTATATTGTAAATAGGTAAAAGAATATTTTCCAGAAGGATGTTTCATAATGAAACGAGTAGATACTTGTTCTATAACAGGGCCTGGATTAAATATAAAAAGCTCCATACCAGGGGAATTTCGAGCATCTGCAGAAACTGTACTTACGTGGCACATAACAGATATTCTTCTAAATAAACTAGAACGTTTGAGTCCAACGTTGTTGTATACATATAAAGGTAATTGTTACTACATTTTTGTTATTAATATGTAGTTTTAATAAACTATTCCTCACAATTTTTAGTACTAATCAAATTTTAAATACTATCTTAGATATTGAAATGAAAACCGTAATTCTATTGGCTTGTATGGAATTAACTGGTTTAGGTGTATCTTTAAAGTCATTACAAGATCTGTCTTCTGCTATCCATCAAGAAATAATGTCTTTAGAACAACGAGCATATGCATTATCAGGAATGAAATTTAATTTTTTATCGTCTAAGGAAGTTGGCAAGGTTTGTTAATATTGTATATTTAAAAGATAGTCCATTTATTTAGCATACTTCAATCAAATTGCTGGATTGTTAATTGTTTAGGTGTTAGGATTATACAAAGGGAAAAAAATTAGTGTTAATAAAGCTGTTCTAGAACAGTCTGATCATCCTGTAGCTAATCTTGTTATGTCATGGCGTAAATTAAGCGCCACTCAATCTAAAGTATGTATATAAAAAATCTTTGAAACTACAACTATTCGTACAAAACGTACTACAAAGAAATTAATAAAATTAAAGTACTAAATTATATTTTATACCACAGATTATTAATCCAATTTTGAATCTGGCTCAAACCAATTCTCGTATTCATGGTAATTGTATTACATACACATTGACTGGTAGAGTATCAATGCATGAGCCAAATTTGCAAAATATTCCAAGAGACTTTAATTCTGAAGATAATAGCTTTGTCATAAGTGTTCGTATGGCATTTGTACCAGTTGTAGGAAATGTTATGCTATCAGCAGACTACTGTCAGCTTGAATTAAGAATATTAGCCCATTTTTCTAAAGATATGACATTGTGCGACACAATGAGGAAGCCAGGAGATATTTTTAAGAATATTGCGGCGACTTGGAACCATGTATCTGAAAACCAAGTATGTAGAAAAAAACAGAATTTTTATTCAGTATAAGCTTCATTTATTTTAACAAATTCTTAAACAGGTTGATGACAAAATGCGTCAACATACAAAACAGTTATGTTATGGAATGATTTATGGTATGGGAGTGAAAACGCTTGCAGAAAATTTATCTATGGATGAAATTAAAGCAAAAGAATTTTTAGAATCTTTTAAGACTGCATACCCAGGTATATCGAAATGGTTAACCAGTGTACAAGAGGAAGCACGAGCAAATAAATATGTAACAACTATCCTAGAAAGGCGAAGAATGCTTTCTAGTTTAACAAGCTCGGATTTAGCAGAAAAAGGTAAATTTTCTTCTCGTAGTTATTAATTAAAAATGATTTTATTTTACAACTTTTGTTAGTAATCATTTTACTATCTATTAATAAATTACAGCTCAAGCGGAACGTCAAGCAGTGAACACTAAAATACAAGGTTCAGCAGCAGATATTGCAAAAAAGGCAATGGTCAATATTGAAGAAAGAATGCGATTCGAATTTCCAACTTCATCAGCAATTATGCCTACTGTTAATTCTACACGCAAATTAAGAAGTAATAGCAAAGTTACACTACAAAGAGGTGGCTTCTTGGTGTTACAACTTCATGATGAATTACTATATGAGGTAAATATGAAATAAAATTGCATTCGTTTTTAAATACTCGATTGTACAAAACACAACGACAAAACGTATTTTGGAACATGAAAGTACCTTAAATTTTTTAATTTTAGGTGAACATAAATGATTTACGACAAGTTGCAACAATAGTGAAAGAATCAATGGAACAAGTATGTCAACTTGCAGTGCCATTACCAGTAAAACTCAAAGTTGGTCCAGCTTGGGGAGATCTTTCTGAGTACAATCTCTAATATTTTGTATTCATATGTGTGCTTT